GTCCCATTGAGATTTAAAACCTCTTTTTCAAGGGAGTCCTGCAGCAAACATCACACAAATATACAAAATTTACTATTTAAACTTGTACGAAAACAAGCAATCTCAAATAAAATTTCTAAGAACAAAGTTAAGTAAAATATTTAAAACTTTAAACAAGCCCAAAAATAAAAGCAGTCCAAATAAAACAGTTGCATGTTATTGAGTTAGTCTCAAGATTTCTTAGTTTAGATTTAAAAACATTCAATGAAATAAATTCTGTCATCTTCCATTTTTCCTGCAACTCATTCCAAGCTGATGGCGCCGAATGGGCAAAAGCTCTCTTTCCAAGTTCAGTACGCACAAACGGGACAGAAAGCAGCAAAGTGTCTTGTAAACGAAGAGAATAACGACCTGCAATTTTCATTTTAAGTAGGGAAATTATACAGGAAGGTAGCAGACCAAGTAGAGCCTTATATATAAATCTGAAAAAATGAGACTTCCTCCTGGTGGTCAAAGCAGGCCATCCCATCTGAGGGTACAACTCACACTGATGAGTCGAGTATTTACGGTTAGTAATAAAACTTAGAGCAGCACGATACACTGTGTCAAGTGACTGACGACATTTAGCAGAAGCGTTCATATACAAAATATCTCCATAATCCAGGACAGGAAAAAATGTTGCAACAACAAGACGCATCTTTGCATTAAAAGAGAAACATAACTTATGTTGAAGATAAAAATGCAGTCTCAACTTCAGCTTCGTCACCAGATTCTCCACATGAGGTTTGAAGGTGAGTGAGTCATCAATCAAGAGACCCAGATATTTATACGAGTGAACCAACGATATTTCTTCACCATCAAGAGTGGTCACTGAAGGAACCACTTGAGCCTGTCTCCTCGAGTTTGTAAACAGCATGAGCTTGGTTTTGTCTGCATTGAGAACAAGTTTAAACTGAAGTAATGAATGTTGGACAGCAACAAAAGCTTTCTGTACTGAATCTATGGCTTGAGTAAGAGTGTTTCCACAGCTGTAAATAACCGTATCATCGGCATAAAAGTGCAGGTTTGCATCTGTCACATTTAGACCGAGATTATTAATGTAAATGATAAATAAAAGAGGGCCCAGCACAGAGCCCTGTGGCACCACCTTGTGGACTGTGGCAAAATCAGAACAAAGTCCATCTGATTTAATACACTGAGACCTGTTTTTAAGATCATTTGAGAACCATCCCACTGCTTTTTCAGATAGTCCTGACTGGAGGAGTCTAAGTTTTAGAATACCATGGTCAACAGTGTCAAATGCTTCTCATTCAAGCTTTGTTATATTTTTTATGTAATGAGTTTTGGGGCTTTATAGTCTAATACTTCTGGCTTGGCACCAGCTAATTCTGCTTTGAAATAGGAAAATATAAAAATAATTGCACATTAAGAAAATGTGAAAATACATACTTCAAAGATCAGTCAAGGATTTAAAATTGAGTAAAAATCAGTCTGACTAGTTTTGCTTTCTAGAAAACCAGTTAGATGTGATCTGGGCTTTGTGACATGGTGCATGATCCTGCTGAGAAGCCATCAGAAGAAGGGTCCATGTGGTGATAAAGGGATGGACATGGTAAGCAGCAATATTCAGGTAGGCAGCGGTGTTTAAACCAGGATCAGGTGGTACTAAAGCAATGGTTCTCAATCCTGGTGCTTGAGGGCCGGCTGATTAGGCAACAACTTGGTCATTTAACTTTTACCATCAAGTCAAACTTGGTGAATTTGAGTGTAATGACTCTAGAAGGACATTCAAAAATGCTGGTCCAAAACTTTTTATCATTTGAGAAATATCTCTTAACTGTGAAGGTTTGTGTCAAAACATGAACTAGAAATTATTATCCAAGCCTTTATTTCCTCCTGTCTAGATTACTGTAGCACACTTTTCACATGTTTTAACAAAAAAGCCCTTAACTGCCTTCAGTTGGTCCAGAACTCTGCCAACAGAAGATTTCACACCCATCACTCCTATTCTGATGTCTCTGCACTGGTTAACTTTAGAATTAAATATAGAATCCTGACTTTCAGGGTTCTAAATGGTCAAGCCCCTCCTTGTATTACTGAACTGTTAAAGCCCTCAAGTCTACCAACCAGAACCTTCTAGAAGTTCCAAACACCAGATAACTCAAGGTGATTGCTCTTTCCAGGCAGCTGCACCCTGCCTTTGAAATGAACTTCATGTGTCCTTATGTAATGACAGTCTGGTCCCCTTTAAAAAACTGCTTTCACCTAAAGGGATATTCCACCCAAAATTGAAAGAAAACTGATGTAACGTGATGGAGGTGCTATTCCACCAAAGGTTATCTACCCTCTCTCCACAGATGCCTCTGACACAGAACTAGTCTGCATGAGATATGGCCTCAAGGTCTCATGCATTTGCTTCTAAACTGCTTCTTTCCAGCTCAAGAGAAGAATGAAGAAAAGGACTCTCTCCTTTTAATGAAACAAAGAACTCAATTTTAATAAAGCTAATCAAACAAAGTGTTAGTCAATAATAAGATGTGACCAATCTGTGAAATCTAAATATTAATTACTTTATTATAATCCTATAGAATATAATAAGTAATATGGCTTTAAATGTTTCCACTAGGACTGATCTCACGTAGCGTCAAGAGACGACACATTGCTTTTACTGATCCAATCAGAATCTGCCAGATCTGACGGAGGTGTGGTTTTGGTGGTGCTTGGTAAATCTGTCATGTTTTCATTCGACCATAAACCAAAACATCCGAAGTATAAAACTATGCCCACGTCATCTTTAACGCCAGTTCAAAGCGTTCTAGAGAAGTTGTCGGAGTGGCCAATCCGTAACTTTCCTCTTCAGCCCAAAAGAACCAACGACAAGCTGGATAAAATCTGTTGCTGTTCCAACACCTGCAACGGTTCCTTTCAGAATAAAAGCTGAACCATCACGACCCAGGTTTGGGTCTTGTTAGATGCCGATAAACTGTCGTGACCCGGAAGTATCTCAAGACGGGTGGTCAGCTGCCGCGGCTGCTTCTACAAGCTTCGGCTCCACAAAGGTCAAGCTGGACCTCTACACCTCCTGATCTAGACTGGGACTTCCGCTAAGGGTACGTAGGCCGACAGAATGGCGTCGAATGTGTTTATGAATCTCCTAATCAATGCTTAGCACGAATACATCACCTTCACTTCCCACCAGAACTAATTGTTTCTTTGGATTTGCTGGTTCTGAGCAACATTCCACACTACACCATTCTCCATCTCATTCACCTTAGTTACACCATACATTTAGTGTTAAAGTTAGTCTAGTTTAATTTGTTTAGTAATAAATCTTTAAACTTTTAAACTTGACTCTCTCTTCTGTTGTCTCTGAATTAATATGAAGTGGTTACATAATCCCTGCAATAAAAAGTTCCAATCTTCTGGTTAAACAGTACCCACAGATCTATAAGGGTGATTTCATATTTACTATGGAATATTATGTCTTATGGCTTATTAAATAACATGTAAATTAAACCATTGCACTGGTGCCCGTGTACGTGTGTTTTTATGTTGGTTCGCTAACAACATGTGCATCTGTGTTTACAGAAGCAGATGTCTTTGGGGCTGCCAGCAGAGGCTTACAGCTGTGCTTTGTCATAAGTAGTCCCAAGTCTAAAATGATGCCTGTGACTCCTTTATGTTAATAATTATTTTCCCTTGCATTCAGTCTGATTATTTAGGTCACCAAGCAGAATTGGGATCACTACTGAGTGATTTTAAGGACTTTTTACACAAAATGCATTGGATCCATTCACTTTTTATGCTAAGCTAACGTGTAATAGCTGGGTCAGGAGAATGACTGGGCTGTTAAAAATTGTTTTTTCCCACTCTGGGAAATATCTCAGCAGGCCATATTTCAATTTTGGGTGGAATATCCCTTTAAATATTTTGTTTTTTCTGATTTTAATCATCTTCCATCCTTGTTTGATGACATTTACTTGATTTGTTTTAAATGGTGATTTGGTGACGTCATGACTTTATGATTTGTTTTGTTGATCGTTGTGAAGCACTTGTGATTTTTCTTTCTGTGACGCTCAAACAAATGTTCCGGTTTTCAAAGTAAAATTATTTTTCACTCAAACAAAAGCTTGCCGTTTCAAAAATTGTATACTTTTTTCTTCTCGGAAGAGAAACGTTTCGATTAAAACTAAACATAAATCATTGATTGGATCAGTAAGTCACTTTTAATATATAAGGATATTTCAGGTAAGGTTTTGTTTTATTGCAGCTTTTCTAAATTTGTTTTGAACTTTGGTTTATTTGTTTGAAGTACATGTTTATTGGTGGATAAAAAAAATCACCCCACTTACTTTCTCATCCAGCACGTTTTAGTTTTACCTCCACTTCAAACATGGATGTAATTTTCACTTTAGAAGTGAGGGGGACACGGGGGGGGGGGGGGTGGGGGGGGTGGAGGGGGGGTATCTTTACAGTATGCTCTAATGGGAAACAGGCTTCAACACAAATGGTTGTTTTCCGCTTGGTCCTAGAGCTCAACCAGTGTCAATTTAATATAGCGTAATATTGTTTTTGGATGGTAAATAGTGCAGGGGTCAAAACTTGACTTTGGAAAAAGTGTGTGTGTGTGTGTGTGGGGGGGGGGGTCCCCCCCTGTCCCCCCCAAAAATTACGTCCATGACTTCAAACACACCTGATTCCAATCAGCAGGTGATTAACAGGGCTTCTGCCTCTGCCTATAGGACAAATATGAGAATAAAGCTGAAGATCATTTGGATTATTGTAATATTCATAATTCACTTGTTATAAAATACAAAGAGGTTCTGATTCTAGATTGGAGGGAAAACTAGTTAATCGGCTCAGATGCATTCTTTCTTTCTTTCTTTCTTTCTTTCTTTCTTTCTTTCTTTATTTATTTATTTATTTATTTATATGAGGTTTGCCCCAGATGTAAAGTGGAGCGGTCCATAAACTCTGGTACCTGGAGCGGGTGATCCGCTGCTCTCCTCCCCCTCCAGAGTGATTCCTCTGAAGCGCTGACTCGGAGCAGACAGTCGTCCACGATAACCGGCTGTACGGCTGCAGCCTCCGGCTTATCTCCGCGGATCGGTTCCCCCTCCGGTACCAGCAGCGGCACCGTTCTCTCCTTTATCACCTAAATCAAACAGAGCGGAGGGGGGAGATGCGCCAGCGTTTCACTTTCTGTGCCCGGATCTGACATCTTCTTCCCCGGATCTTTGTGTTTTCGGACGGGAGGCTGCGGCTGCTCCTGTGAGTATTCCTGGTGCTCGCTGTTGTCATCTTTAGAGTCTTTTCTAGTTCTTCCTACAAGCCAGAGAGCTGACACCTGGATGAGATCTTTCAACCCTGCTTTAAAGAAGAAGAAGAAAACGCTCACTTTTAAAAGAAAAAAAAAATGTGATTTCTTTATTGTTTTGTTCTGTCAGAGGGGCGTTTCGGTGTAGACGCACAAAGGCAGCTGCATGGGGGTTCAGTTCGGATGCATCCTTTTTCTTTAATCTGGTTAATTTAGAAGTAAGAAATTTAAAAACAGAGCACAACAGATGTCTCCTTGTTTGATCATATCTGCCATCACTCCATTTTCCACCCATGCACAAGCAGAGGGGCATTTCAGGTGAGGTTTTTCAACATTTAGCCTAATAAAAATAAAATAGTTGGTTCTGCTTGCAGAAGCTGCAAAAAAAAAAATAAAAAAATAAAATCATAGCATTGTTGCATAAGCTGAAGAAATGTGGAGAATAAGGTGCTCAAAGAGAGCACCAACTGCTGTTGCAAGTGCTGATGCATTATTTATATATAGTTACCCCTGTGCTGCACCTCCCACCCAGCACCACCATCTCCTCAGCTCTCACCTTACACACTCCTGCAGCCTTCCACAGTCAGCCTGGCTGAGGCGGTAAAAGAGCAGCTATTGTCCAGTGACCCTCCTCACCCCAACATAAACACACCCTCTTTTAAAAGGAGGGAGGCAGAAAGAGGAGATGAATTCTTAACTTTACAATCCAGGAAAGGATTTTTTGTGCATGACCTTCACAAAGGCAAGATGAAAAAAAAAAAAACAAATGTTTGCTCTGACAGCTTCGTAAACCACTTTGATTACACCCTGTGTGCACACACAGAGTTGCTCGTGTATATTAGATTACGTGTTATGTAACTCTTCTGCAACAAAACCCTCTTTGCTGTTTAACTTTCACCACCCCCTTTTTTTCCCCTTTCTCCTCAGCAGCAGCAGATGCGTTGATCAGTATGTCGTCCTGGTGGCAACGGCCTGATGCATTCACGAGAAGGCAGCAGGAAGAAGATTACTGAGGGATTAAGACACACGTGGGCACACGCAAACACAAGTGGACGGATTGGGGATTCAACCTCCATCCATCTGAATGAAGCCACCTAACTGATACTGACACCCTGGGTGGTATCATGGAAGAAGAGGAGGAGTCGACAGAGGCTCATTGATTTTTAAACCCCCATGGCCCCGCCTCCTTCCTCCTGCATCATCATCAAAAGCTTCAACTGATCTGTGAGAAGTACAGAAGGTTGCAGATTCTCTCTGTGGTGTCCCACGGTGCCTCGGCACTTGAGATTCCAACAAGCTATTTCGGATTTTTGTAAATGCATCAGATTATGTTAAAAACTAAAGTGTCAGAAGGGAAGATATTGAAGAGAAAGTTCTATTTTTAAACCCTCGCTTTGCCAGCGCACGTTTAAAACACGAGGCAACAAGATGACTGGCAAACCAAACGTTAGATTTCGATCTGTTCCAATTTTGGCTCGAGCACTCTTCGCCCCACAAGCAAAAATCTCAGAATTTCATCCTCGGTTATAAAATGAGTCAAAGAAAACCTGATCTGCGAAGAGTATAGCCTCGAGCGAATTTAAATAGGGAGGGAGGGAAAATTTAACGCACAAAGACGTTTTTATTCTTCTGGACCTAAAGGACAAATAATGTATTTTTTTCATTGTGGAATGAAAATTCTGCTTTTCCAGGAACTAGTCGCAATAAAGTTGGCTGTATTTTGAGCTTGAACGTTAAAAATAAAATAAAATTTGAACAATTCTCTAAAGAAATGTCAGGTGTAGCTACAGGCAAAATGTAACAAGACATCCTATCCTTTTACCTGCTTATAAAATCTCACAAATCTCTCCAGTCTCAGCTCTGATGGCCAGCCAGAGCATTCCTCTCTTTTTCCATGGCTTTGAACTCAGTGGTCACTTCGCTGACCCCCGACCTCTTGGTACGGGTGTCACTGGCCTGGTCCTGTCGGCTGTTGACCAGCGCACCGGACAGCGTGTAGCAGTTAAAAAGCTGGTGATGCGGGATGCGGTCGCAGCCAAACATGCCCTGCGGGAGGTAAAGATCACCCAGAGACTGCACCACGAGAATGTAGTGCGGGTCCATGAGGTGCTAGCTCCGTATGGACGACCCTTGCCCAGAGACCCGTCTCAGCTCGGTGCCCTGTACATCGTCCAGGAGTGCATGGAGACCGATATGGCCCGGCTGCTGGACCAAGGACCTTTACCAAGAAGTAAGAACAAAAAGTGACTTATCTACCTCGTATTTTATGGTCTCTTTTTATCACTGTTGTACTTTTTTTTTTTCAGCACTTTGACTCAGCTGTCATGCTGTTTTAAAATGTTCTAGCTTACATAAATAAACTTTATGGGTCTGAATGTAGTAAAATATTTGGTGATCTATGCTAAGAAATGAAGCTGTGGGTTGTTGAGTTATCGTAAGGTTGGAGGTTTGATCCCGGCTCCCGCCAGAGAATTTGAGTCAGAAGAGATGAAAAATTTAATTGTTAAGCAACATTGAATATTGTCCCAATCCTAGCTCCATAGACTCGTCCTCTGTTTAATTCTGCACAGAGAAAGACCGTTTGTGTAGAACTAAACAGAGGAGGAGTCTGGCAGGCCAGGTTAACTTTGTGTTTCCTATCAGGAGTCCATTTATGCACACTATCAGTTCATCTAGGACCCATACAGGTTTCCCACTTGTGCATTTGAGGTCTGTTGTATTGACCCAACTGGGCTCCAAGCTGCCATTTTTGGCCCGTATCATCTAAGAACCCCATTACACAAATATATAACAAAATATCAGAGTAGTGACCCCTGATGCACGTCTGATGAAATACTAAAATTTCTAATAGTTTATGTCATTATTGGTATTTTTTGTATAATAGTTTACTGTCTGTAAAAATATGTTTTTTGTATATTTGGAATACTTAAAATTAGTTTTGGCTTAACATAAATTTTATTTCAATACAAGCTTAGATTTGTCTCTAAAGTGCAATTTTAATTAAATAATTGGGCTCATTTACCCCCCTACACACACACACACACACACACACACACACACACACACACACAAAGAAAATGCATATAAAAATGTATCTGTACTCTGTAAGTTGTGAGAAAACGAGTACTTCGAGTTTGTCACTACATGTGATTTTTACTCTCAAACAGGTCACGCCACCCTGCTGTTCTACCAACTGCTGAGGGGACTGAAGTTCATCCACTCAGCCAATGTCCTCCACCGAGACCTGAAACCTGCCAACATTTTCATCAACACAGATCAGCTGCTGCTCAAGATCGGTGACTTTGGGTTGGCCAGAATAGTCGACCCGCATTATTCTCACAAGGTGAGCGACACACGCCGATGTCCTCTAACTCAAGAATTTCCTGGAAGCCTCTCTGATGTTGAATTTGAGTCAGAAGAGATGAAAAATGTTACTTTTTTATGTTGCGTTGTATTTCCTAGATAAATCTGAGATATTTTTCGCAGTGGGAGTTTGCATGCCATCTCTCTTTCCATTGGATTTTGAGCAAATCCTCAAGCCCAGATCCTGTTTGATTATTAGAATGACCTCTTGGCCTAATGTAGCACTAAACAGGCTGCACTCTTGCAGAGGCAACTGCTGCAAATAGAAAACCAGTCGGCTGCACATATTCTGGCCATCTTAAAGTTGCCAAAGCACGTCTCTTTTCAGTGTAATATCAACGTTGGCGTCACTATTCTGATCCTGTTTATGAACAGAGACTGCAGAAAATAACTGCATTTGAAAATCACTCCCCAGAGCTAATACATGCATTTAGGACAAGTCTGTATTATTACAATAATTATAATACTCTAGCTTTATGGCTGCTGATTCTACATCATCACATGAAATGTTGCTGACCTGTGCTCCCTCTCCAACACAAACCCTACTTTTAGGGTGGCACATTTAGCACAAATCAAATGCTGATTGAAGACTATAAAAGATTAACGAGAGGCTTCACCACTCCACCGTTCTGTTTTAATACGTTCTAAGATTCCACAGCTGTAACTGTAACACTAGCAGGGCTGGATGTGCGAGCGTGTTTGCGTCCCGGGGTTCGTGCATTTGAAGAAAAGCGATCTGAAAGGCGATCTTTGTCGGCTCTGAGCACAGGACCAAGGATCAGCGGGGTGCAGACACAGGGGTGCGTTTTAGAGGAGAGGGAGGAGGACGAGGACAGAGGAGTGGAAAAGACGCAATATGTGATGACTAAAAGGAAGGATAAGGGTGAGAAATATCAAATTCTGAAGAAGGAAAAATGAGAGTTGAAAAGAGATGAAAGCAGAGGAAAGAGAATGAAAACAATTATGGATGTGTAGCGTCATTCTTTGTAGCGTCTTCGTCTTCGTCTTCCTCCGCTTATCCGGGTCCGGGTCGCGGGGGCAGCATCCCAATTAGGGAGCTCCAGGCCGTCCTCTCCCCGGCCTTGTCCACCAGCTCCTCCGGCAGGACCCCAAGGCGTTCCCGGACCAGATTGGAGATGTAACCTCTCCAACATGTCCTGGGTCGACCCGGGGGCCTTCTGCCGGCAGGACATGCCCGAAACACCTCCCCGGGGAGGCGTCCAGGAGGCATCCTGACCAGATGCCCAAACCACCTCAACTGGCTCCTTTCGATCCGGAGGAGCAGTGGTTCTACTCCGAGTCCCTCCCGAATGTCCGAGCTCCTCACCCTATCTCTAAGGCTGAGCCCGGCCACCCTACGGAGGAAACTCATTTCGGCCGCTTGTATCCGCGATCTCGTTCTTTCGGTCATTACCCAAAGCTCATGACCATAGGTGAGGATTGGGACGTAGATCGACCGGTAAATCGAGAGCCTGGCTTTCTGGCTCAGCTCCCTCTTCCCCACGACAGATCGGCTCAGCGTCCGCATCACTGCAGACGCTGAACCAATCCGCCTGTCGATCTCCCGATCCCTCCTACCCTCACTCGTGAACAAGACCCCGAGATACTTAAACTCCTCCACTTGAGGTAGGACCTCTCCCCCGACCCGGAGGTGGCAAGCCACCCTTTTCCGGTCGAGAACCATGGTCTCAGATTTGGAGGTGCTGATCCTCATCCCAGCCGCTTCACATTCGGCCGCGAACCTACCCAGCAAGAGCTGAAGGTCAGAGCTGGATGAAGCTAGGAGGACCACATCATCCGCAAAAAGCAGAGACGAGATTCTCCTGCCACCAAACTCGACACACTCCACACCACGGCTGCGTCTAGAAATTCTGTCCATAAAAGTGATGAACAGAACCGGTGACAAAGGGCAGCCCTGGCGGAGTCCAACCCTCACTGGGAACAGGTCCGACTTACTACCGGCTATGCGGACCAAACTCACGCTCCTCTGGTAAAGGGACTGAATGGCCCTTAACAGAAAGCCACCCACCCCATACTCCTGGAGCGTCCCCCACAGGGTGCCCCTGGGGACACGGTCATAAGCCTTCTCCAAATCCACAAAGCACATGTGGATTGGTTGGGCAAACTCCCATGCCCCCTCCATCACCCTTGCAAGGGTATAGAGCTGGTCCACAGTTCCACGGCCAGGACGAAAACCACATTGCTCCTCCTCTATCTGAGATTCAACTATCGATCGGACCCTCCTCTCCAGTACCTTGGCGTAGACCTTTCCAGGGAGGCTGAGGAGTGTGATCCCCCTATAGTTGGAACACACCCTCAGGTCACCCTTCTTAAAGATGGGGACCACCACCCCGGTCTGCCACTCCCTAGAAACTGCCCCCGATGACCACGCAATGTTGTAGAGACGTGTCAACCATGACAGCCCTACAACATCCATAGCCTTGAGATACCCAGGACGAACCTCATCCGCCCCCGGGGCTCCGCCGCTGTGTAGTTGTTTGACTACCTCAGCAACTTCTGCCCCCGAGATCGGACAGTCCATCCCCAGGCCTCCCAGCTCTGGTTCCTCCTCGGAATGCGCATTGGTGGGATTGAGGAGCTCCTCAAAATATTCCTTCCACCGTCCAACTATAGCCTCAGTTGACGTCAGCAGCTCCCCATGCCCACTGTAAACAGTGTGAGCGAGTTGCTGCCTTCCTCTCCTGAGGCGCCGGACAGTTTGCCAGAACCTCTTTGGAGCCGATCGATAGTCTTTCTCCATGGCCTCACCAAACTCCTCCCACGCCCGAGATTTTGCCTCGGCAACTGCCACTGCTGCACCCCGCTTGGCTATCCGGTACCTGTCTGCTGCCTCCGGAGACCCACAGACCAGCCACGCCCTGTAGGCCTCCTTCTTCAGCCTGACGGCTCCCCGAACTCCTCCTTGAACCGTCACCTTATCGTGGTGGAGGAGTTTGAGTGCCCTAATGATCCTAGGAGCTATGTTGTCTGGGGCACTTAGTGCCCCTGGTAGGGTCTCCCATGACAAATTGGTCTTAGGTGAAGGGTGAGACAAAGAACGGTTCGAAGGATCTTTCATGGCGGTTAAAACGAAGAGTCGGAGTACCCGGCCCGGAGGGTTACCGGGGTCCCACCCTGGAGCCAGGCCTGGGGTTGGGGCCCGTGAGCGAGCGCCTGGTGGCCGGGCTTTCGCCCATGGGGCCCGGCCGGGCCCAGCCCGAACCGGATACATGGGCTCGTCCAACTGTGGACCCACCACCCGCAGGAGGAACATGAAGGGTCCGGTGCAATGCGAATCGGGTGGCAGACCAAGGCGGGAGCCTTGGCGGTCCAATCCCCGGACAAGAAAACTAGTTTTTGGGACATGGAACGTCACCTCGCTGGCGGGGAAGGAGCCGGAGCTTGTGGCAGAGGTTGAGCGGTACCGGCTAGATATAGTCGGACTCACCTCGACACATTGCATTGGCTCTGGAACCCGAGACCTGGAGAGGGGTTGGACACTCTACTTTGCTGGAGTTGCTCCGGGTGAGAGGCGGAGGGCTGGGGTTGGCTTTTTGTTAGCCCCGAGACTCTCTGCCTGTGTGTTGGGGTTTACACCGGGGGACAAGAGGGTAGCTTCCTTGCGCCTTCGGGTCGGGGAACGGGTCCTGACTGTTGTTTGTGCTTATGGGCCAAATATCAGTTCAGAGTACCCACCCTTTTTGGAGTCCCTGGGACGAGTGCTAGATAGTGCTCCATCAGGGGACTCCATTGTCCTGCTGGGGGACTTCAATGCTCATGTGGGCAATGACAGCTTGACCTGGAGGGGTGTGATTGGGAGGAACGGCCCACCTAATCTGAACTCGAGCGGTGTTTTGTTATTGGACTTCTGTGCAAGCCGCAGTTTGGCCATAACGAACACCATGTTCGAACATAAGGATGCCCACCGGTACACTTGGTACCAGGGCAGCCTAGGTCACAGGTCGATGATAGATTTTGTAGTCGTATCATCTGACCTGCGGCCGTATGTTTTGGACACCCGAGTGAAGAGAGGGGCGGAGCTGTCAACTGATCACCACCTGGTGGTGAGTTGGATCAGATGGCAAGGGAACATGCCGCGTAGACCTGGCAGACCCAAACGCATAGTGAGGGTCTGCTGGGAACGCCTGGCAGAAGAACCTGTCAAGACGGTCTTCAACTCCCACCTCCGGCAGAGCTTTGACCACGTCCCGAGAGCAGTGGGGGACATTGAGTCCGAGTGGGCCTTGTTCCACTCTGCGATTGTCGAGGCGGCTGTTGCTAGCTGTGGTCGTAAGGTGGCCGGTGCCAGTCGTGGTGGCAACCCCCGTACCCGCTGGTGGAAATGTCAACTTGATTGATCTTTGAAGTTTAATCAGAAGATTTTAGTTACTTTTTCTTGTTCAGGGACCATAAACACACTTCGTATTAATTCAGACAGTCAAGTATATAGTTAAAAAAGGAATTTTATTCTTTTTCATAAACTAATGATTTATACACGACAAGATGTGAACAATAAGATGTGATTTACGCCGGGGACACACCGGCCGCCGAAGTGCCGCGAAAAGGGGACCGCCTTCATTCGGCGCCCTTGTTATCCTATTCTATAGACCACATGGGCCACTGAAGGGCCGCGCGCCGGCGCTCCAGCCCGTGCCGTGCAGCGATCGTTTCGGTATCTGCTCTATTATTTTTTTTCGCAAGCCGCGGGTGAACCGCGTCAATTCTGGCAGGAAGTCAAACCTATACATGAGATGCAGGCTGGTAAATTTAACAAAATAAAGCATTTCAAAATGTGTGTGTGTGTGTGTGTGTGTGTGTGTGTGTGTGTGTGTGTGTGTGTGTGTGTGTGTGTGTGTGTGTGTGTGTGTGTGACCACGTGAAGGGGGTGTGGTTTTGGGTGTCTTTCAACCGGAGCAAACACACACGCGGACAGACACACACACAAACAGCAAGGGGGAGGGGGGTGTAGAGGAAAAGAGC